TGCAGAGCAGCCTCAGAGAGAGCAGAACAGGCCCGTCCTTCCTGCACCCTGCCCCACGCTTCCTCGCTGCTTGGAAGGTGGGTCTCTGTCCCCACACAGCTCCCCAGGACAGGCTGCTGCCGCCAGGTGACCTCAGAGAGGCCTCCATCTCCCAGGCCCTGGCCGCCCCCTGCCCCTCAGGCGGCTGCTGCAGCATCTGCTCTGAACCCAGTTTCTGTGCAGTGCCCTCTGGGGTCCCCGGGGGGAGCTGTGTGCAGTGCATACAGCAGGTGCCCAGCAGACACTGGCTCAGGAATGAAAGGAAGCCATTCTACCAGACGAAGCCAGGCCCCGAGTCACCAGGGACCAGCCTGGGGCCACCCCTCCCCACCTCCCAGGCCTGGCCTAGAGCCAGGTCCTCTGCCCACATTCGCCACTGGGCCCAGCTCAGCTGGTGGCACAGGCCCCCCAGGTCCTGCAGGCAGGGACCGCCCTTCTGGGTGGGGGTCTGTGGGATGAGCAGGAGGAGGAGGGAGGAGGGGAGGACAGAGGAGGGGAGGGCGGAGGAGGCGGGAGGGTCAGGGCGGGCTTCCAGGCCTGGCCAGCAGCCAGCAGCCGCCAGGGCCTGGGGGTGGGAGCTGTTCCTAGGGGGAGGGGGAGGCCAGCTGAGACTTGGGGGCACAGAGCAGGGACAAGCTGGGAGAGGAGGAGGGACACAGAGAAGGAGGGGAGGGACACAGGGAGCTTCATGGACCAAGGAAGAGGGAAAGGAGCGGAGAGGAGAGACCCTTCCCAGAGCCAGGGACCAGGCAGTGCCGGGAGCCACCTCGGGAGGGCAGGCGGCCTCCTGGACGCAGCGTGGGCAACCCTGCCCTGGCTGCCCTGTCCCGCCACACACCTGCAGGGCCCAGGCTGCAGGCGGGGTCCCCCGGGTCAGACACACCAGCTCTGCTCTCTGCGATCTCGGCCCCAAGTCACCAGGCAGCTGCTGTGTTGGGCACTGCAGGCCCTGGTGGCTCAGCAGTGACCCGGTGGGAACATATTGTCCCTGCACTCAGAGGGGGAAAGCTGAGGGAAAGCCGAGCAGAAATGCTGGGAGACAAAGGGCCAGGATCGCAGGTGGCTGGGCGGGCGAGGGGGGCTGCTGGGAGGGGGTCATCCAGGCCCAGGGCAAGGCCTTCAGGGATCCTGCGCAGCAGAGAGGTCGAGCAGAGCAGCAGGAATGGAGGCCGAGACCGCCCAGGAGGGAGGGGCGAGAGGCGGGGCCCAGGGAGGGGCGGGGCCACGGGGGGGGGCTCCCCGACCTGCCTGGGATCTGCATCCCACACCTTCAATTCCCGCCTCCTGCCCACCCCACGCTGGCCCAGAAACCAATGGTCAAGAAGGTGGACCTCCTGCCTTTGGATCCGGCTTCCTTGGCTTTGTGACTTAAAGCAAGTCACTTGGAGTCTCTGAGCCTTCCTTTCTTCACCTGTAAAATAGTATCTCAGACATATTCCGGGATTGCAGAGGTCAAGGGAGGAGGGCAGGCGCCTGGCCCAGCTGGAGTGCCCAGAACTCAGCCGCGCCACCTCCCCTCCCTCCTGAGCCACCTCCCCTCCCTCCTGAGGTTCACAGGTTCGCTCCACCCGCTGGGCTGGTCGCTCAGCTTGGACCTGGTGTGGCCAAGAGCTCCGCGCCCACCTTTGGGCTGGCAGCTCACAGTGGCTCTTGTGACCTTGGCTGCGTCTGCCCTGGCCGGGCTCTGCTTCCCATGGCACAGTGGGAGGGAGGGAGGTCCTGGCCAAGGCCCCACTCACTGCTCTGCAGTGTGGCCTTTTCCTCCCCCTCCAAGACTGAGACTGCCCCCCCTGCAAGCTCCAGGCTGGGGTCTTGCCAGAGAAGGAGGCCACCCAGTGTGTAGGGGGCCCTGGCTGGAATGCTCAAGGTGTACATGCTATTTCTATCTTGTATTTCTGGGTGTTTTCCTCCCTGGCTGGCGACAGTAGTGGGGGTCCATGGGCCTCCAACCCAGAGCTGTAGGCTGGCCTAGCCCTGCGGGGTGAGGTCCCTGATGCCAGGACTCGGGAGCTGCAGGCTGGCCTTGGAACACTGAGGACTCAGAACCAGTGGGCGGCAGGGTGTGGTGGCACACACCTGTAATCCCAGCTACTGGGGAGGCTGAGGCAGGAGGATAGCAAGTTTAAGGCCAGCCTCAGCAACCTAGAGAGGCCCAAAGTAACTTAGTGAGACCAGACCCTGTTCCATAATAAAAAATAATAAGGGCTGGGGATGTGGATCCATAGTTAAACCCCCTGGGCTCAACCCCTGGCACCAAACAAATAAAAATCACGAGCAGATGGGCACTAAGGCACAGAGAGGGAGGCCTTCCTGGTCCTCCTCTCACCTCCAGGCCCAGGTCCCAGCCTCAGAGCCTGGGAGGGGGAAGGGAAGGAGTGCGGGGCAGAGGGGCGGGGCTTCTGCAGAAGGTGCTGGCAGTCTCCTGGGCTCCCTTCGCTGCAGTTCTGGGCACGTAGGCTGGGTGCCCTCTCCTCCCCCTCCCTCCTTCTCCCTCAGGTTCCTACTCCCCTCCGCCCACATCCCTGCTCCCGCTTATCCCTCCTCCTCCCACATCCCTCCTCCCTGCCACATCCCTCCTCCCTTCCCCATCCTCCTCCTCCCTCCCTCATCCCTCCTCCCTTCCGCATCCTCATCCTCCCTCCCACATCCCTCCTCCCTCCCACATCCCCCATCCTCCCTCCCACATCCCTCCTCCCTTCCCCATCCCCCATCCTCCCTCCCACATCCCTCCTCCTTTCCCCATCCCCCACCCTCCCTCCCACATCCCTCCTCCTTTCCCCATCCCCCATCCTCCCTCCCACATCCCTCCTCCCCCATCCCTCCTCCCCCATCCCCCATCCTCCCTCCCACATCCCTCTGGCCTCCCCCACCTCCCCACCCTGCTGCTTTCCCAGCTCCCCATTCTCCCTCCCTCCCCCTCCCCTCCCCCTTCCCTCCTCCCCATCCCTCCCCCTGCGTCCTCCGCCTCATTAGGCTGCGGGCCGCGGGCCCATTAGCGGATCAATTAGCCGAGGTCGCGCGGGCGGCCCGCAGCCCTCCCGCCCGCACTGCGGCCGAGACCGTGCGCGCTGCTCCGCCCGCGCGGGGGCTCCGTGGGGTCCTCGGTGGGGCCCCTACCCAGGGAAGGGAGGCGCGCGGCCTCCTCCGGCCTCCTCCGGCTCTGTCGCCCGTTTTAGGGATAAAGAAACCAAGGCCGGGGGCTGGGGTGGGGCCGAGCCAGGGTGACGCCCAGCCGCAGACCCACCCCGGCCCTGGCCCTGGGGTCCTCAACCCGGTTAGGCGCCTGGCCACTCACTGGAGATCCGTTGAGGAGGCGGCAGATGACCGGCTCCTGCAGCAGCCCCCTCCACAAGAGGGGAACCCGGGAAGCCACCGCGGTCCCTTGTCCTGTGTGCGGGGTTTGCACAGATGGACTCAAGCCGCCCTGTGTCCCCTCCCCAGCCCCTCCTTGTGCGGGGGACGTACCCAGGGCTCCCACTCAGCCACATCCCAGACCTTTTGCTTTTGAGACAGGGTCTTGCCCAGTTGCCCCGGCTGGCCCCCAACCCGGGGTCTTCCTGCCTCGGCCTCTGGAGTCCTAGGGGTGACTTAGTGCTCAGTGGCTCCTGGGGGCTGTGCTCTGGGGCTGGGGCTGGTTTCTGTGGGTGCAGCCCTGGTGGGACTGGCTGTCCCAAGGCCTCTGGGCGAAGCCTGGCAGGGGAGCTCCAGTCCATCTTGGGGCGCCAACCAGCACTGCAGCCTGAGAAGGCTTCCTCTGGGGTGCTCCCTCTGGGGTGCGTTTGGCAGGGTCACCTCACTTTCCTGGGAGCAGTGAATGCAGGAGGTGAACTGGCACCCAGACCGTAGTTTTTGAGACAGGGCCTTATTAAGTTGTTTATGGCCTCGCAGAGTTTCTGAGGCTGGCTTTGAGCCGGAGATCCTCTGGCCTCAGCCTCCCCAGCTGCTGGGATGACAGGCGTGGCCACCGCGCTGACACTCTGTCCACACTGCAGTTGTCCCAGGTGCTTTGGCTGCAGTGGTTTTGGGTGGAACCATTCTCTCCTTAGGGACAAAGGCTCTCCCCTAAGGTCACCTGTTGCCAAAGTGTGCTTCTTGGGCCGTCGGCCCCTTTTCTCTGGTGGCGGCCTGAGGTGCCCTCCCTTGATCCAAGCTCCAGAGGAGCAAAGTTGCAGTGTGGAGGTGGGTGCATGTGGTGGTCCCAGGTGGGGGAGCGGTGGGGTACAGCCTACTTCCTGTGGGACTGAGGTTGGTTAGGGGGTCTGTTTTTTAAGTATCACAGAGTCTCTGGGTTCAGAAACCACCTGTGTGTCACTGACTGGATCAGGGACCCCTTAGCCATTCTGAGCCCCTTATCCACCTGTCAGAACAGCTCACCAGCACCCTGGTGCACACCTGGGATCAGTGGCTCAGGAGGCTGAGGCAGGAGGATCGCAAGTTGGTGGTCAGCCTGGGCAACTTAAAACCCTGTCTCCAAAGAAAAAACAAAAACAGGAATGTGGCCCAACAGTAAGATGCTCCTGGCTCAACCCCCAGGACCAAAACAAACAGAAAACACCCAGGTGGTCCTGGAGGGTCTGGGCCATGCTGTGTAACCCCAAGCCTCCAGCTCACCCTCTCTGGGCTGGGTATCAAAAGGAGGTGGGCACCATGAGCAGCTCCACCTACCTGGGACCCTGGTGCCCTGTCCTGGCACAGATGACCCAGAGTGGAAGGGAGTGTCCTCCTCCCCAGGCCGGCCCCTTCCCCACAGAGGCAGGAACACAGGACCGAGTCACAGCTTCATTGGAAAGGCACAGCTAAGCCCACCCTCCAGACAGTGTCGCCCTTCAGGGGACAGGAGCGGCCTGGGGCGGGGGCGTTGTTTTCCTTAGAAACACTTTTCTGTCTTCTTCCCCTCATGTGCCCTTCCTTGGAAGACCAGCTAATGCACTGGGAAAAGAAAACCACACCGCACAAGCCAAGACGACGTAGTACCCTCATCTTTATTTGGGAAGGGTGAAGGGAAGTCCGGGCGCCCCCGCTCTGTCCCCGCTCTGCGCGTCCCGCTAAGCTCTGGCGCTCGCTCGGCCCCCCTCGCGGGCGAGGGGAGGGGACCAGGTGGCTGGGGGCGTGAGGAACTGGCGGGGGAGGTGCGTGGGAAGCGAGGAGGAGCAGGTGGGTCCGGGGCCACTCTGGGGTGCCCGGGCGGGAGGTGTCGCATGCAGTGCCGGGGTGGGCTGCGGTGGCCTGTGCGGGAGCGGGTGCAGGGAGGGAGGGGTTTCTCGAGGTCCTGCTCCCCGCGGACCTGGTCCCCCGCTGCCCTCCTCGGCGTGGCCCACCTGGGCAGGGGTCACCTGCTCAGGCTGCGGGGGAGGCAGGGGGCTGGGCGGGAGCGAAGCCCGGGGGCTGCGCGGGCAGGGCCAGGACCCCGGCCGGCGACCATAAATACCACGGAGCCGGGCCGTCCCGGGCCCCTCGGCCGCGCGGCGTCCCCGCCTCCCCGACCCGCTCCCGGCCGGCGCGGCTAATCCGACTTCTCCCCGTCGTCGTCCTGGTGCGCGTCCCCGTCGTGGCCGTTCTTGTCCTCCTTGGAGAGGTGCGCCTGCGAGCCCAGCGCCGACAGCGACAGGAGCCCGGAGCCCGCGCTGACCGCCGGCAGCGACGGGGGCTGCAGCCCCACCGGCAGGGGCGTCAGGGGCAGGGCCAGCGCCTGGAGCTGCGACAGCTGGTGCGCCTGGAGCTGCTGCTGCGGGGTGGAGGGAGGGCCTGCGTGAGCCGCGGCCGGACCCGGGCCCCCCGCCCCCGGGCCCCGACCTACTCGGATGATGGAGTTGAGCTCGGGCGCGGTGACCTGCTTGGCCCTCTCGATGGCTCCCAAGACCTGCTGCTGGTGCTGGAAGGGGGTGGGGAGAGGGGTCAGGGGTGTGGCAGGGGAGCGCGCCGGAAAGTCGCCCTCCAGCCACTTCCATGGGGACCAATGGAGAAGAAGCGCAGAAATCTCAAAAGGCGTGTGTGTGTGTGTGTGTGTGTGTGTGTGTGTGTACACGCACGCGCAGACACCTGGGGAAAGGCCGGTGGCCAGAGAAACCTGGGCCACTTCCTGTGAGTGAAACCCAGCCAGTAAAAGATGCAACCTGCGCCACTGTCCTGGGATGTCCTGATCTAAGTCTGTGCTGAGAACTGCCCTGGAGCCCCTGCTTCCTGCTGGGCTGGGACAGGAGTGCAGGCTCAGGGTCACTTCCTAATGCAGTTCTGCCTCAGAGTGTCTCTCCTCAAACTGGCATTAGATGCCAGAATCCACCGGCTCCTTTTTGCCTTGGCTACCAGGAAGCCTGTTTGGAGAGGAAAGCCTCAAGCCTGAGGCTGGGAGGCTCCCAGTGCCCTCTCCTCGGGGCTGTCCCTGGGAAGATGAGGTGGGGCCAGGGGGCAATCACAAGCTAGAGGACGCCCAGGGGGCATGAGGCTGGCAAGCCTGGACCCCAGGCCAACGGGGAAGAGCTGGCTGCCCAGGAGACGTGGGTGAGGTGCGCTCCACCCTGCAGCCCTGTCTGCGCCCCTGTGCATGGGTGGCACTCGCCCACGAGCCCATGTGACCGCCCCAGCCCTGCCCACACCCTGACCTGAGCAGGGGCACCACACTCCCCGCCCCCCCCTCACTGGAGCGCTGCCTTCAGGGAGGCCCAGAGGGGAGTCCCAGGGCACCCAGCGCAGGCAGCAGGAAGGGCCGGCCCCGGTGCCGGCTCCTGCAGGTCGGGCTCACCTCCTGGGACAAGTAGGGCAGGACCTGGGCACAGATGCCGTTGAGTCTCTTGACGATTTCAGCCTGGAACACAGAGGCGTCAGTCCCGGGGGGCAGGGCAGGGTGGCACCAGGCTGGGCAAGGCTCTTTCCAAGCCCAGGGGCCATGGGGCACCCGGAGGCGATGGCCGCGCGGCTGCAGGGGAAGGCTCCCTGGGACGGAGGGGGTCCCCGACACCCCAGGTCAGGGTGGTGGCAGGAGCCCAGCCCAGAGGGCCAGGGGCCTCCTGGGTGACACCCTATGGGCACATGGTCCCCTCCCCTGATGTCACGAAGGACATGTAGGAGGTGGCAGGGTAGCAGGGTGAGGGAGCTGCTCCTCAGGGCTGGGGACAGCCGGGGACCCAGACACACCTGCTTGTGCATCTCGATGTTCAGGCCGTAGGACATCTCGTAGTACTGTGGGGACAGACGGGGTAGGCCGGCCTCAGAGACGAAGGGAGGTGGCAGCCAGGAGCAGGAGGAGCCACCCACACCCCAGGTCCAGCAGCAGCATCAAGCTCTGCCCGCCCAGCCTGGGAGCGCTTCACCACCCAGCCCATGGGGCTAGGGGCCCGGGTGGAGGTTCTGAGGTCACCCTGCCAGCGCCCACGGGCAGGGAGGGGTTAAGTGCCGGATGCCAGGGCCCAGCAGGTGGAGGGACGCTCCCCCACGACAGTTCCAGTTCCTGGCTGCTGCTTCCACAGCGGTGCCTCCTCCTCCAGTGGCTGCCAAGGACAGCCACTGAATGAGAGCCACCCAAGCCCTCGGGCTCCGGAGCTGGCAGCCGCTGGGGGGCAGGAGGCTTGGGGACCTTACCATCACATAATGGCGCTGCATCTCGGACTTCTCACTGGCCAGCTTGTCACACTCGAGCTTCAGGCTGAGGACGCACAAGGGGGGAGGGAAAGGGCTGGTGCGCAGGTCCCCGGGGGCGGGAAGCAGAGCCCCCCCCCCCCCCCCCGCCCGGCACCCCCCAGGGCAAGACCAGCCCCTCGGAGGGTGGAGCACAGCTCTCCTGGGCAGGTGCGTCCAGCTGGACTGCGCAGGGGAAGCTGTAAGGCGGATCAGGAGACCAGGCTGCGGCTGCGGTGGCAGAAGAGTCATGAAAATCACAGCCACGACCCGAGCCAGAGCGAGCCCTCTCAGAACACCCATGACGTCAGCTGAACCCTACTCATACTCCTTTTACAGATGCAGTGGATGCCCAGAGAGGGTGAGCAGCTGGCTCAAGGTCACAGAGCCAGGAAGCAGCCCAAGGGGAGGAATTCAACCAAGGGGAAGAACTCTCCAGACACAAATCAGGACCGGCGAAGAGGCTGAGGGAGGCCCCAGAGTGCCAGGTACAGCTTCCGACTGGACACCCAGGGATCCTGGCTCAGCCGCGGGCCTGCATTTCCTTGGGGTACACTTTGGGGAGAGGGCTGGGAGAGCTGCCCCCACTGATTCACCTTGTGCTGAGCAAAGACACACCTTGCACATTTGCACACCAGGGTCAGTGCCCAGGTGACTTCTTTCAGGCTGTCCCAGTAAGAATGAGCCGTGGGCACCTCTCCAAGACCCTCCAGGTCACGGGCGTGGGGGAGAGCCAGGACTGGGGGCGCCAAGTAAGTCCCTGTCCTCCAGGCGGGTTCAACCCAGGCCCCTGGGCAGGGGGCTCTGCATGCTGCCCCAGCCCCCAGGACAAAGAGCCCCAGCTGGCCTGGCTGCACCTCCCCACGCTGCTGCCCTGGAGGGGCACGTGCCCCTCATGGGCTCCCTGGGACCCTGTCCTCCTCTGTAAGGACCCGCCTCCCAGGCCAGGGTGAGCCCTTCAACAGAACCCAGCATACAGCAAGCACTCAACAAATGCTTCTTGATCTGCGAGCGAGCACTGGAGCCTGGCACCCCGTCCACCACAGCAGGGTCCCTCAGAGCAGAGTCACTTTGGCCCCACAAGCTTTTCTAGATTCTTTGAAAAGATGCATTTGTTGGTCAGGTGCGGAGGCCGCGCCTGTCACCCTGGAGGCCTGGGAGGCTGAGGCAGGAGGATGGCAAGTCTGATGTCGGCCTGGGCCACTCAGCAAGACGTTTCAAAATAAGAACTGAAAAGGGCAGGGGATGTGGCTCAGTGGTAGAGCCCCCGGGTCAACCCCAAAACAAAATCCCAAACAATCCAAAGGACAAGACGTGAAAATAAGAAAGAAAACGTCACCGTGTTGGGCGGGGGGTGGGGTGATGGCTGGGTGGCAGAGCGTTGCCTGGCATGTGTGGGCGCTGGGTTCCATCCTCAGCACCACAGAAAAGTAAAACTACTGTGTCTGTCTACAACTAAGAAAGTTTTTTACAGACGTCCCTCTGTTGCCACCGTTACCAACCCGACAGCAGGGCTGGGCTGGGGCTCGTGCAGTACATGCGAGGCCCTGGGTTCGAGCCTCAGCCCCACATAAAAACAGACAAATAAAATAAGGTGCTGTGCCAACTACAGCTGAAAACCACCACCCAAGGGCAGCTGGGGGGCAGGAGCCCTCGCTCCTCCCCCGCCCGGGAGGCCAGCGCCCACCTTCACCCAGAATCCAGTGTTTCTTGAGGCTCCAGCCACCCCGGGCCATTGTACCTGGGGGTCCCGAGTCTGCCCCCAACACGGCAGGTCCCCTCACGGACGGAGTAACACTCAGAGAGGGGATGGGCTTGGTGGCCACCCTCCGACCCTCAGACACAAAGGACCAGCACCTGGGCTCCGCGTGCAGTGGGGCCACCAGGCACCGTGGGACCAGAACCAAGCTCCCGGGCCTGCAGGGAGGCCAGCTCCAGGCCTCCGGCTGCCAGTGCCTCGTGTCCCTCTCCTGGACACGGGCACAAAAATGGGGCAAGAGCTTGAAGCCAGAAAACTGAGGTTCGTGCTCAGTCCTGGGAAGCACCCAAAAAAGGCCGCGCAGCGTTAAAACAGCCACAAAGAAAAGTGCCCCTTTCTTCTTGGAGCAACCAGATCTACAAAGGGCCGGAGACCTCATCCAGAAGGTGCCCAGGAAGGAGACCCTGGGGACTGAACCCAGGGGTGCTCTACCCCTGAGCCACACCCCAGCCCATTTTTCTTTATAAATTTGAAACTGAGCCTCCCTAAGTTGCCGAGGCTGGCCTCAAACTTTGGATCCTCCTAGCCAAGCCTCCTGCGTTGCTGGGATCCCAGGTGTGACCACCGTGCTGGGCTGCAAGTCCCCTCCTGACAGCCAATTCTTGGGAACTTGCATTCTGGAGCCGGGAAGTCTGGGTGAGAATCTGTTTTGCTGCTTCCTACAGAAAATCTGTAACCTCTGTGGGCTTCAGAACAACCCCAGCTCCTTCCCGAGCCCTTCAGAGATGTGACAATACTACTGGAAGAGCGGCCTGGAGACCTTCCCCCTGAAGTCAGGGAGAGACGGTGACCAGGCTGCAGATTCTTTTTGGTGGGGGGGCAAGAGCTGGAAGATCAGCCCCTAAATCCAGCTGTGGAAAGCTTTTATCCAATTGGGATTGGAGCTGGGGGGGCTCAGAAACCACAGGGGCTGGGTGTCCGGGCAGATTATGACATGTCCACCCCTCAGTTTCTCTCTCTCTCTCTCTCTCTCTCCCCACTGGTACTGGGGATTGAACCCAGGGCCCTTTACCACTGAGCCACATCCCAGCCCGTTTTATTTTTTATTTTGGGACACATCCTTTCTAAGTCGCTAAGGCTGGCCTTGAACTTGCCATCCTTCCTGCCTCCGCCTCCCCAGTCGCTGGGATGACAGGCATGCGCCACCAAGGCTTTATGACTCGGTTTTCTCGGCTGTGAAATGGGCCTTTCTGGACCAGTCACGCGGGGGAAGTGCTTAGAAGAGAGCCTGGCACAGGACAAGCCCCCGGGACTCAGTCTCGCCAGCGCATGTGCGGGGGGGCCAGCTGCCCTCCGGCCCGTGTCGCCGGCGCAGGGGCCACCTGGGCGCAGCGCGCAGCTCACCTGTGGTACTGGGCCTGCAGGAGCTGGAACTCGTCTTTTATGCGGTCGCAGGAGTCGGAGGTGGTGAACTTGAGCTGCTGGGGTAGGTGCGACGAGCCCTGGGGGAGGGGCGGCGGTCACCGCGGCGCGCGGCCCCTCCCTCACCCGCGCCGCCGCAGCCCCCCCGCGCCCCACTTCCCGGCCCGCGCGCCCCCCGCCGCCCCCGCTTCCTGCCGCCCCCGCCCCGCGGCCTGGGGCGCGCGG